TCATCAAATATTTAGACGACCCTTCCCCTACAGTCGCATATCTGCTACATTGTAGGCGATTCATGCCTTTTGCATGAATCAAGGATCATATTCAGCTCATACAGTATATTTTCAAGAATGTTTCAGGCACGAATGACGATAAAATGACGTATTTGTATTTGTTATTGTTTTCGTAAGGTTGCGAAATCGCCCTAATATAGCCTACGCTTCAGCCAATACTGGTATAATTTACTGCCATTTGTTAGGGACATTAGATTCGCTCCGTTGAAAACATCAAAGTTCAAAAAATAGATACAAAGTTCAGAGAATTACTAAACCAAGTGAAATGTGGCAAGTGTCTTATGAGAGAGCAATTTGGCGCTTCCCGCATTTTCGCTGTGCCTACTTTTACATAAATCTTCATACTGTTTATCAATTGTATTGCAAATCGTCAAACATGTATTATTATGAATGTAATTAATGTAGCTAGGTTTAGTCTAATTACAGTAAATTAAAACATGAAAAGGACAGCACTTACAGACTGTCATTAATTTTAAGCAGTCTTTTCATATTCGCTACTGTCACTAGTGTTTTCAATGCTACCGTTGCACTGCGTCTATCATCCCCGACGAAATTAGAAAGACTCTCTATATAGCTTGGTATCATACCATTAAACTAATAGCTATTAGGCTTAATATTACCGGTTTGATTTCATTTTTTTCATTGTACTGATTGTTCTAATGGCTAGAAATAACATTTAATGACCAGGAAAAAAAATTGCGCTTTATAACCTTAAGGAGAGGAGCATTATAGATGCCTAATAGTAATACCAGTTCAGTATACCAATATCTCACATAAAAATGCTACACAAATAGGCTTAACATCTTATTTACATCAGCACATAAACAAGTTACACATTATCATATAAGGGTGTCCTGGACATCAACCTGAACTGATATTTCTATGTATTCGAGTAATATACATGCGCTAGTTAATTGTAGTATAAGTAAATGCAATTTCGTTCATTTACAAAATACACTATTGTCAAATTGAAAATATTTATTACGTTGTTTCTATGGTGTTACCGTGACTGGATACATTATGCCACGATAGTGGAAAAATTGTGTGTAATCAATAAACATTATAGTCTCCGGGTGCTGTCTTCGTGTTTTTATCGTTCAATAGACGAACACGGGTAATGAAATATCTACGTTTACAGGCCTACTACAAGATGTACCGTAATCTACAGCATAGTGACAAGCATGATTGCGAATCGAATGGCCGAGCGGTTAAGGCAGGGCGATGCAACCTACAGCCATAATATCGGCGCTGGGTCGAACGGCTCGCTCGCCTATGGTTCTAGTGGTGGATAAGGACTATAAATCGATGCCCAGTGTACAAAATGGTTCGTATGCACTTTAAAGAGCCCAGTACATCATTCGATACGAGTAGGGGAATACCCCGGGGTACTGGTTCAGATAGCCCCTGGTGAGAGTTGCTGAAACCGGGTAAACCTGGTATTATTATTATTATTATTATTTATTATTATTATTATTTATTTATTGCATAGGCGAATCTAAGAGTACTGACTGGGGATAACGGGGCGAAGGTCAAATGCGACACTCACGCCCCACTCTGTGTATTTCTGGTGGTTGGTGCATCGGTGCGATTCGAACCACACGAGCACTCTCGAATCCCACACTAGCCATTCGGTTGCATCCATAGATAAGGCACTTTTCCTGCGTTACACCCTGGAGTAGTGTACCTGGGAGAATTTGATAGTTCTTTATTATGTATTTAGTGGTGCGTGACTGAGCAGCTTAGCTCAGTCGGCTAAATTGGTGGTAGCCACTATGTGTGTGCCGAATTGTGGAAGCTGCTCTCCTTGTTTTTCAACTGGAGGGCTGAAATGCAAGTTTCAATAGCGCACCGTCTTTCGGGTGAGACGTTTCAGCCGTTGGTCCCATGTGCAATATGTTTCATGTACACTGCGGGAAGTGTGGGGGATTGTCTTCCGGTCTACTGCACACTTACCATCAGACAGTTGCAGAATCTTCAACAAGATGAAGGCGGCAACTCAATGGAAGGAGAAGAGCACATTCTCCAGGGAGAGGATACGTTTGGGAATTGCAAAAGTCATATTATTGTTATTATTTATTTATTTATTTTATTTTTTATCTATCTATCTATCTATCTATCTATCTATCTATCTATCTATCTATCTATCTATCTATCTATCTATCTATCTATCTATCTATCTATTTATTTATTTATTTATTTATTTATTTATTTATTTATTCAACCATATTTCGAGAAGGTGACCCATTCAGCGTGAGCTGATTTTATTCCATTACCAAGGCAATAATGTAAAACGCTTTTGTGAAGTCGAGTTCAAAGCACTCTATAAATGTCAAAATAATTAATTATATTCTCTTCTGTGTATGGAATACACAATTGATATGAATATATTTTTATTACAATCGATCATTATTGTTTTTGTAGCGGCCGATGTGCTGTTGAGTAAAATACAAACATGAATACAGGGCTCCCAACAGTACCGACAGCAAGTGCTGTAGAAAGGGCCTTCCACTGCCGTTGTAAATCCTAGGCTCGACAGCAAGCTTTTATCTGTTGTTTCACCTGACCCAGCAATGGATTATACCCATACATTTATAGAATAGGTCTATTCTTAAAACAATTTACGAAGATTGGTGCTGAAGAGGAATAAATTTTTGTTGTAAAGCCATAGCCCAAAGCAACAATTTGTTGTAGAGCATTTTGAGGAAATTCGAACCCTGCAATATGATATCTGATCGTATAGGCCTTATTGATAAGTTACCACACAATTCATTTAATTTAATAGTTTTATTTAAATGAATACTAATACTATTCTTGGCTATATGGATATTAGTATATGCCTGTGTTTTTCTGTAATACAAAACAACGATGTTGCATAAAATTCCCGGATTACGTGTACCATGCCATGGGAACGATTGCTATGAATGCAATGGGGAACGTAAAGAAGCAGTTTCGATTTTTTAAAAATTATGCTTAAAACTCCGATGTGCTTTCACGTGTATTTTATCATCGAGTTGTAGTAATGGATTGTAAATAAAAGATGAATAGGCCAAAATAGTAACAGACCGCCTTTGAGACGTTCGTTGGCAAGTGCTTTCTGCATACAAAAATATTAATACTATTCTATATTCATTTTGACGTCATATCATTTTATCGCCCTTTATCACTATGATACCGGCAGCTGTGCTCTTGAATTGCATACAGATATGAATGTCTAGTCTATACGACTAACATAATACTGCAGTCCGCTTAAAAATTCATTAAAAATGTAAGCTCATGCAAAATGCCCTATCTATCATCAGCTAATGTACAGATAAGCCTATCTTAATATAATTAATAATAATAATTAATATTATTATTATTTTAATATTATTAATATTATTATATTCATAGTAGGAAGTACGTACGTTTAATGTTGCTCTTTTAGCGCTCCATATATAAAACCATAAAAACAACTAACAGACACGGTTTGCTCAACATCTGCTCTAAATCTGATTTCAAACTATCTTTTACTGTAGGCCTACTGTACTAGTTTAAAATTAATTTTCCATTGTAAACTTAGCCTTTGAAATAAGCGTAAATATAGATAATAGTTGAACAACTTCATTGGCTATTTATCGTAGGTTTCCCGTTCTTCTACTTACACATAAATTTACCCGGGGACATATCTTGCCTCTCTTCAAAATTAACTTTTCCAGGCTTTGTCTCTCCTCATAAGAGTATCCTAGTACAGTACACATCCAAAATATAAAAATTGTAATTTTTAAAAAAGCCATTCAACCCACGTGAATCGATCACGTTTTTCTACTTTAGGCACTTCCATTTGTTATATTGACTTCAAAACAATAAAGGAAAAGAAAATAAGAATGTACATCACTAAAGTTACAAAGATAAAATATTTATTGACTATAAAAAAGCATATTATCCTTAAGAATACCAACATTCCAAATCTATACTTTACAATGAGAGGCCTGATGGAACTCTCATCTTCCTGATACACTATCACTGACACAAATTATTACACACAATCGCTTTCAACTCATCCTTTCTTCCAGTGTCAGTACGGTAACGTAACAATCGGATTTTCTGTTTTATACAAAATATGATTACCTGAACTGAATATTGCTATGCCAGCGTACCGAGATAAAAAATCAACCCCACTTACTTTACACACATTGATAGATTTAATTATTATAATATTGTGTGAAAATAATAAACTTAAGAAATGCTGGAGTGTTACAGATTGTAAAAAAAATACTAAAATCTGATTCAGCATTTGTAGATCTTTTAATCAGTTTTTCTAGCTTGCTAAGATCATTTACATACCTCGATATGGCAACTAAGGTCTTAAATTATAGAACCAAGGGATCAAAAAGAAGTCAATATTAAGACAAGTATTAAAGCAGTAATCCATAACGTAATCCTTCTAGACATGTTTCGACTGTTTCAAGTCTTCATCAGAGTGAATATTGAAAATTTTATTAATATTATCATTAGTAAAAAATGATTTATTGTTGGCCGAAGGCATAAACCTATCAACAATTTACATAAAGATTTAAGTTTTTGCAGAAGCGATTATTTTCAATTTTGATTTTGCATTAATCTGTTTGTTCGTTACATAATGTATTTTTACATCCATTAAGATACTTAAACAATACTAAATAACTGACCCGAAGAAAATTAACGTCTTTCTCATAGAAATATTACCCCTATCTAATGTGAATAAAGTCTTGCATGATTGACGTATAGGCTTATATTATTAACTATATATTTTGGCATTCAAGTATATATATATTTTATTAGATATTGTTTCAGCTCATATTTCTTATTTATTTCTTATACAGAATATACATTAGGTCCTATTATCTATGATTTACACGTGATGATCTCAGCTCTACAAAGTATGTAGATAACTTGATAATAGTTTACCATGTATAAAAACTAAATTGGTAAAATAATAAATGGTGGGCATTTGTGTCAGTGCGATAGTATTTTGAAACGCATTACCATAACCAGAATTCTTTAAGTTCCTAAGTTCTTAAAACAGAGTTCCAGAAGTGTCAGGCTCCCTGATTTAATCGAAGCGAAGAGCTCTTGTGGCAAATACTCTGCAGCTGAAACCTTCTAGAATTTAAATGTGAATTTCACTATCATTTCGATGATTTGGGTGGCGGTTTTACTAGAATTGGATTCCTTTTAAAGACTTGTTGTGCGTACACAAAACTGGTTATGGGCGCCGATTAGAAATCTCATGAACCGCCAGTGTATCTCGATTACTCTGTGGTGCTTCTAAGATAATACGTCACAGGGAAAAACACAAACATATTAACTATGTCGAGGAATCAAACATTGGATTTTTAACAATAATGTAGGCATAGTGGGATTTGATACAGCAGTACATAAATACCCCATGCGCTTCAGGCTCAACGACTATTGTAGGCCTTTAATGTTCATCTGCAATCAAAATAATTACATTATCGAAACACCACCAATTCACTGCGATAATTTGTGGCAAAGGATCTTACCAGAGTGTCAATCAAACTTAACAACTAACCAATCAGAACAGGGCCAGGTATACGCGCGTGTCCAATAAGCACATGGTGTTGTCCCACAAACGCACGTGTTTGCGTATGTTGTAACACTGTCCTTTTGTGGGACCTGAGCAACAATATCCATAGGCGGGGCTTAGCGGAAAGCTCCATTTTATGCAACATGATAAATTGTGACAATTACGCAGTGAGAGATCAAGATCGTACTCGAAACATTACACACACCCGTAGTATTCACAAGTACTACTTTTACTTCCACCTGTCCGCAGCGGTTATATTTAATAAGTCTGTATCGACATATGCAGACCTCCCTCATGTTATATTCCTGCCAATCAAAAATTAACTTGAAACGATGTTACGTCAGCAGAGACTTTGTATGATATTTTTTTCGTCCACGTTCATATTTTGCGTCTATCTATTTTTCTAACATAAATAATGCCTAACTTGTCACATACGCCTATAAGACATATTTTGTAATCACGTTTTTGTAATTTGTTGAACATTCATTTATTAGGTCAGATATTGAGCAGCAACATTAATATACTGATGATGCATTCATTTATTAGATCAGATATTGAGCATTAACATTAATATACTCATGATGTATTCATTTATTAGGTCAGATATTGAGCAGTAACATTAACATACTCATGACGAGAATATTCAATTAAAGTTACATTGACGTATAGTCCCTACCTTGAATCACTGACCACAAATTATTAAAGAGTGTGACTCCACTAGGCCTAACGGCAGCCAATGTCCGATATGAAACGGCACAATTTGTGAGCGTTAATTATAAATTCAATTGCATTAAACCTATGGTACTTTTCTGATTACCATGAATTTATGAATAAATGATAAACAGAATACAGCTGGATTTTAAGTACGTGACCGAATAACATATGGATAGATCGTATATGCATATTTTTTTACTAGGTCTATAGTAAATAGGCCTAATAGTATTATTAATAATAACGATAATAATTTTAATAATAATAATAATAATATTAATGATAATGAAAATAATGATAAAGATGGTGATGGAGTAATGACGTTGATAAATAATAATTAAATTTAATCAATTCAATTCAATTTATTCAGAAAAAAAACTCAAAATAAAGAAGCATACATAGAAATACAATAATAATATTATAATAAATGTAAGGGTAATATCAGTGACCACAATTTTACATTTGTCAAGCTCATATTGCACATATGCCTGCGCTTTAAATTTTACAATAATATAAGGTTTGGGGGGAAATGGTTCCTCAATCAACTTTTTGAATTATTGACTTTTTATGGCAGAACTTTTAACGTAATGAGTTATTTGTTGCAATGCAGGGGCAGATTCTGGGTGAGCAGCAATCGGCCGGCCCCCCTAAAGAAACAGGAAAAAATATTAAAAAATCACATTCTAATTTAAGCCTGAGAGTGCCATTTCAGTCCATGTAGAGGTGCAAAAACATACATTTTCGTACCTCAGTCAAACCATGGTGGGGTTGAGGTGCTATGGACCATCCGTTGGTAAAATTCCCTCCTGGCGGCTGGACCCCTCTTCTTTGATTACTGGATCCACCGGTGCAATTATTCTGTGTTAAATCAGTATTGCAACAACATGAAGTGTTTTATTTACATAGCATAGGCCTATGCAGTAATTGTTTAAGTAAGTTTGTTATGTTTATATGCCTAATTATACGCCTGGGGCTTATTGAGTACAAGTTATAAATTGACAACATGACACTATATAACCATCGACCGTCCTACCACCCAAGAACATACCGTATCAGACCAACACTTCCCCAGCTATCTAAAAGCGGAACCACCTACCCATGACTCCAGCCATTGATTCAACAAGCATAGAGACCGACCCAACAATTGTTTTAGTTATTCTTGAAGCTAAACTAAGAATCTCTATTCGAGAAGACGTAATCAGCAGCCTAAGATGCCTATACCTTTCCTATACTGTATTACAATTCATCTCATGCGTAAGTTAAGCCTACGTGTAGCAGAACAGAATACCGTACCTTATCTACGTTTTCTCGATGACACCTCGATTTGATTAATTTGTGGAAATATACATCACCGGGGCATAACCATATAGCATGATTGATGCGAGGCTTGAAAAACAATTTCAAAGACAATTTAAGCATAATCATTTCTATCATAAACGTAGGCTATTTTAGCAACAAATGCGCGTTTGACTGATTGCAAATATATAGAACGCAAAAATATGTTGGAATTATTTGTGAGCACATTTTCAGCCAACAAAGTGTGTTGAAAAAATATGAACACCCTGAATGCTCACTCTTGATTAGATTTGATATGGTATATTGCGTATAGCAACAATGCACGTCAGCTGAAGGCGTTACATATGTCATCCGCTTGCTCGTAAGAGAGGCTCAATAAAAGGCCTGAAACTGTTGCAAATAGTGATGTAACATAGACAAACACGTTGATAGATACATAACTGTACTAGCATTATCTAGGTTAATAAATCAATTGATATTTAATCATGGTTTAATGGGAAAGGAATTGAACGGATAAAGAGACTTGCAGAGATGTAACCTACATTACGAACCTTTTTGCAAAAGTACTTTGTAAAGCACTGGTGTAATACATACCTCGAGGGAGTTATAACATAGGCCTATGTAACATGCCCACGACCGGTTGATGTGGCGTCAAGCTTTTTAACTTGCCACAAGACAGACTAGATAGCCATTAAAATGACTAATGGGTAGCTTACAAGAATTCTAGCTTACAAGAATTGTAGCAAATTAAGCAAATCGGTCGGTTTTGTAAAGTGATCCACTTGTGTAACTTTGTAAAATAATAAAATCATTCTCATTCGAATGTTAACCGCACGAGGATGAAGTACTATATCCCATATGTATACACTGCGCAGTCGCAGAACCATGGTAAAATTGCAGAATTATCTAAACAATTTTGTGAACATTAATGTCAACATTATCCATTCTGGGATAATCCAATCGGTGTATCGTTGAAATTTAAGTCTCATTTATGTTAAATGTAAATACATACAAGGAATTAGATCTATTCTAAATTGGATTACTACTTCACAAAGGAATAAAATATCAATTATTGAAAGTGATCGTGTAATAGATACACTAGATACACAGAATCAATTATTGTTTGTTAGAAATGTAGGGTGATAGCAAAAACAGATGATGAAATATGAAATATTATTCAATTATATACTTAACGTTTCGACTATAGTTTTCATTTATATGCGGTGCAGATATAATTAAGGCGTACTCAGATGCTAAATTGCTTTAATTTAAACATATAAAACATGTACTGTATACAGAGATTTGTTTTCCGCGGGCAAAAATAAATGAAAATAAACAAACCACAAACACTTCATAATTATAATAATTGTTGTTATTATAATAGTCGTGTAGAAATCGTATAAAATGTGAACAAGATTCTATTCATGTTTGTAACATAAGCCTATGCTGTATGTCAGGCTCATGTTATTTCAAAAATGTCTAAACAACATGAAATTGCAACATGTGCAGGTTGGATGAAAGGAATTAATCTGTGATAGACATGGCTAAATGCAAGAAGGGCAAGCAAAATCTCAGAGGCTAAACTTTGGAATGAAAACCAAATGTAATGCAAAAAACTATGTCAATATTAGTTTTACAAAAGCTTACAGGAAAAAAAAGTTTAATACCTATTTAATTATTGTTTACGTTTGAATCTTCATTAGCCATCCAATTTATATTCTGTCCAAAGCCACTGCTTAAAATCTTCCAGTCTTAAGTCTGTTTTCCACTTGGCGAATTTATTCGTGCGAATGGAAAGCGGCGGCTCGTGCACATGCGCATTCACATTTCTATCGGAGTTTTTGCTAGCGAAAATTGCGCAACCAATCAGAACTCAGGAAGCGAACTGACGCTTTGATTTGCGCGAATAAATTCACCTAGTGGAAAACCAGCTTTAAGTGGGGCACTCACTGCTCACGCGATTTCATGGAAAACGCAACGCAACGACGTGCGTGCAACAGATCATAATGACGATCCGTTCAGACTCCCACTGACAATCTACATAAATAAATCTTATTGTACGCGCGTCGTGGCGTTGCGTTTTCCATTTTAAATACTTTAATATTAAATAACTTTTGTCTACTTTTACTGTATTTGCTTTCATTTTATTATACATTTGATATAGATTCATTTTGGTCATCCGGACTTTAATGGAGAATAGAAAAATTACGTGAAGTGTAAAATGATGTCATCATGATTGACTTATAACGTTTCTTATAAGTCATACTGTATTTCAATCTTTTTTTTTTCTTTTTGTATTAAAACATTGCTTTCATTTTAATTATAGTTTCAGCTTTTGTCAATTTTTATCATTCTTTCCATCGTTTTTGGTCATAGTTGTTAATAATATTATGTAGTCAGTTCTCCTCTTTTTTTGTTTCTTCATTGAATGTGGGTTTTTATTTGTTATATATATATATATATATATAATATAATATAAAATATATAATATAAAATATATATATATAATATAATATAAAATATATCTCAGTGTGCAAACTATACGTGAACCAACGTACACGGCAGACCAACTTTAAAGTATTTAAGCATTTTTGTCAAATAGTCAAGCAATCATTATTTTTATATTTTTAATGTAAATTTTAATAAGTAGTTTATATATTTTAAGCCTATTTTGTACTGTGTTATGGATGTTTTTATGTAGGTCTAGCTCGAAAGCTTGAATAAAGACACGATTTGTTCCAAGCCTCCGACTATTTCTTTCATCTTATACATACCATGAGGGACATTTCAACAGGCTCTGGGGGCAATCAACCTTTCGTTATATATAAGAAACGTTCACAATGTACATATATATAATATATATACATATATACATATATATATATATATATATTTCCATTTAGCCTACTGTATAACTAGCTTTTACGTGTAAATGTCTCAAAGCACTATTTTTCATTGCATTTGAGACGGTAACAAATGATCATATACAATGCGCAACTTGCTCCGATATCCTGTGGCTCCTACATTATTCATAGCTATGCACGAATATTTAGTATAGATCAAATATATTCAAACAGAACATGTCTGTGCTATCATATACCAATTTACTTACTTTGTGTACAGAGGAAAAACCTTGCCTTGCTCAGGGACACTAAACAATTTAGGGATTCGAACATCGATCTTATGGTCGTCGAGAGTCCGAATGACAATCGATGCATACCCGGTACACCAGCTCTCACATAAAGGTATTCATCCATACAACATTGTTTGGGCCGTTGGATAGAAATTTAAAAAAAAATAGCAACAGATACACAAAATGTTACAAAGCGATGTGTTCATGTATTCTTCATTAAACTCACGACCTGAGTGGATATGGTGAGAATTCAATTTGGACGGAGTTGCAAGAACGTGTGGTCGACGCAACAGTGATATGCAACCAAAACGCCATTGTGTGAAAAAGGAAAATATTACGCGGAAAATAAACAATATCAGTTGCAATTATCTTTCAGTTACAGGAATTACCACCAAGCAAAAGGTGATCGCCTAATAACTTCGTATTAAATTACATGACAAGTGTTACAAAGTGGAATCGAAATCGTGGTTAAATTTCCCCGATATGACGTCACGGTGTAAATCTCATCATCGCTATGTCATTACAATAACTGCAAGCAACCCCTCGCCGTTCATATATTTCTATGTTTTTCCTTTGCATGAACGGAGTCGCATGCGTAATACTAAATTAAGCAATTATTCTGAACCAGGTATGGTTTGAAGACGAGGCCATATAAATATTCAACAAAGGGTGTAAGAAAGAAAGGCGGACTAGCTACTGCAAACGATGCGAAATATTAAATTCAATGCAATCCTATACAATTTGATCAGTTTAGAAAATGCAAGACTGATAACATTTGATTCTATTGCAGAAAGCTTTGCTCGTAATTGGTCGCGCCTAACGAGCAACATTTGCTTCGATCAGGTAATGGCCGGCGGTTTGTGTCAATGACATGCTATGTATTATAAGCTTTGCATGACGATTAGGCATGTCTAAATAGCATAAGCCCCACAGAATCTACTCATAACAGGTATCATATACATGATATGCATTCTTCAAATACTCGTTTGATGTGTTTGTTTTATTAAAATGAAACAATAATAGTAATAGTAAATTAAAATCATATTTATAGTAATAATCGTAAACTTATTAAAATTTTAAATTATATAATGATGAAATCATTTCATTTATTGATTAATTTCAAACATATTTATACAGGATTAAAGCTTGTCAATGGTATCATCATAATAATCATAATCATAACAATCATAATCAGGTTAAATAATCAAAATAATAACCATAATTATAAATAAGTTCGAGCTACATGTTATTCAATACTATTATGTATCTCTTAAAGACCCTGTCACCGGCGCGCAAGAAGTCTAGTTTATGCTGATAATGACACTCATCATAATCCCTTTCTATCCAGGAGACTGTAAGCATGCTGTAAGATAATTGGAAGTTTTTATCGCAATATGTTTCTGTTGAATAATACGCGGAGCTTGTTCGTTTTCCATCCCAATTTCTCCATGCAGGCTGGACACTTATAGTAAAGATTGCAAACTCTTCAATCAAACCATCACTTAAACACCCGTAGTTCTAGTTCTAATGGACCCGGTATTGGATACCGAATCAAGTACTGGTACATAGACAACTTATGCAGAGCTGGTAATCAATCAGAAAGATCGGAAGTATAGCCGGAGAGAACCTTAAAGTAATGTCAACTAACATTCTGGTACATTAATTTTTTGTCTCATCAGTACTAGCATCAAGGAATGAAATTCCTCCATGGTACTAGGTAAAGGTATAAAGACGAAGAGTGAGATTGCGAGAGAGATATAGTTCTATTTTCTCTATAGTTTAATTGTGACCCGATACGAAAACACATTGCCAAGAATATCATAATAAGCGACAACGGGTGGATCCTCCTAGTATAGAGTTGTCCTCTGAATACTGCATTTAG